AAGGTGTGTCTCCATCTGTGTTGCGTGTCTCCGGGCAACATCTCTTCTCGAGCAACAGCCGGACAATCCCTGTGTTCCCTGCAGCAGCGGCCCTGTCAAGCGGAGTCCGATTTTGAGCATCCGTGGCCTCGAGGTTTGCCCTGCACTCGAGCAGTAATTCTGCGGCCTCTACCTGGTTCCTGTCCTCCTCGCTGGTGGGGATTTCTGTGTGCTGGCTCCCGTAGTTGGATGCCTGGCCGTCTCCAGGGATCCCACTCCGATGTGGACTGCAGATGCAGACCCAGTGAAGTGGAGTAAAGCCATTGGCTTTAGAGTTCACCAGGTCAAGCAAATCCTCGAAGGCCAAGCATGCTTGAAGCTTCGTCAAGATTTCAACATCTGCTCCTCAGCTTCGACTCAAGGCGTAAATGCGGAATCGCCTTCTGGTGCAACCACCAAGCAAAGAAACTTTGAGCAACGCCAAGCCACTCTTGGCTGCTTCATGCAGCAATGTGGAGCCGTCACTGGTTGTCGCTGTCGCCTGTGCCCTCCGATCCAAAAGCTGCGTGACCACGTCCTCCCACAACCACATTGCTACAGCAATTAAAGTCATTACAGCACATGGCCATTGCAGCAACTTTGACTGTTGTTGCCTTGTTTCCGGCAGCGGCTGCCACTAGTGAGGGCCGGCGCAAACCAACGCCTAGCAGTTCAGGATCTCTTCAATCCAAACTTGCCATGATACACTTCATTCACTTTACGAGTCTGTAGGAACTGGGGCAGTGCCTAAGGATGCCTAGCGATTTGAGACCTGCCTGCTGCGGGTATGTCGAAGTTGGCTCTTCGGTCGATCAGACTGTTCACGACCTCCGCATGGCCGAAGATGGCCGCCCAATGAATGGCAGTGAAACCTGGAGCAAAAGCCACGCTTCGCTGGCATGCTTCTGACCTGATTGTGCGCATGTCAGACACCAACAGCTGGCCTTCATCATCCTTCTCGTCTAGGCCTGCGCCACTGCTCACCAAGAGTTCAGCAGCGCCCTTCTGGCCAGCGGATGCTGCCCAATGCAGCGGCTGCACACCATATTCATCCTTGGGCTGGCAGGTGTTCGCGCAAGATCAAGCTGCCGGGCGGACATACTCATGGCACATCACAGGTGTGCACAACTGCCATCAAGTGAGTCAGGGACCTTTGCATTCACATGTGCACGGAACTGGATCAGAGTCTTTGCGACATCCTCAGCCGCTTCATTGTATCGCACTGCCTCAGATGCTTACGAGTTCAAGGAGCCGTATGTTGAATAGAAAAGACAATACTAAAACTAACATGCTTAAACTACTCACAACCAAGCCAAGATGAAATAAGGTAACGAAGTACTTGATTGATGACATGATGGCATATGATGAAATAAGATAATGTCATGAAGACAAGAGAGCATCCGCCGACCCTGTGGGCGTCGGCGCAGCTAGGTCGCCTCAAGAATCTTGAAGCTTTCCTGCGTTGAGTGACCCCACGCCCCATCTCGGCCCTTTTCAGCTCCTGGGCCTCACCACTGGTATAGCACTGCTCCGTGCGTCCACGACATGCAGGGCCCGCCCCATGCATGCCGTGCTGCATCTGCCTTGGGCCTCACGTCCCGTCTCGATCGCCCTCACCCCCTCTGAGAGATGCAGATCTGGGATAGAAGATGAAGAAGGCCTATGTCCCCCGCGTTTGCTCCCGCCCAGCACCCTCCTTGCCCAGCAAGCCAATGAGTAATGAATGGCCCCCCGGCTTCCCACCCCCGAACACCCACCCAACGCTGCCGAGCCCGGGCCGCATCGCTCTTCGGGCACATGCTGATCGTGTGCTTGCTACCTCATGTTTATGTACTGCGTAGCTATGCGCAGCTCCAATGACTTGGAGTGACATTCCAGACATGTGCCACCTTCGTCAACCTCAGCCTTTGCCACGCAACATCCTCAAGCTGCACCTTGCATCAGTCTGGCCAGGGACATCCTACTGCCCTTGCGGGCGCCTGCACCACTGCCACGGAACCCCCTCCCATCCCAGGCCCAAGTGCTGCTGAGGGCTTGGAAATACCAGTACAGGCTGTTTTTGTTTCGCTCTTCTCAAGCTTGTTCGGCATGGTTGCCTAGCCAGGTGGGCCAGCATCATCAGCATTGTGCGGGCCACGTTGAAGTGTCAAGCTGGCTCAAGTGGGATGCTGTGCTTGCTGAATCCTATACAGACAAGCGTCGTAGTGGAGCGGTTGGCGACCTCGATCATCCACTGCATTGAGCTCTTTCTCGGATCGCTTGAGATGTGACTCAATCTCTGGTCCTTTCCTTACAAGCAATGTGATCGGTTGCCGGAGCATGTGCAAAACACAAAATGCCGGCACTGTAAGAATCAGCAGATGTTCCACAAAAAGGGCTCACAAAGCGAGCAATCGTCAAGAGACATTGTCTACCCCGCTTCGCTGCTCAAAGACCCTGGCTTTGCTGAGGCTTCAGACTTACTGGCAACTGGCCTTCGGTAAATCTGAAACTGCAACGGGTTTTCGCGTTCCATCTACTTGGACGCGCTGCTTACGCCTCTGGTCTTACTGGTGCGAAAAGCATCAAGCTGCTTGCTGACGTGGATCATCGTCTGTGCTAGTGTGTGCAGCTCCACCCGGCCAAACCATGACACTCGATGTGCTTCGCGTTGTGTCATCTCCAGCATGAAGAAGAGCCGTACATCCACAGGGACACCTGCCCTTTCGGCCTGTTCATAGCGAAGGCAGCGGCCGCAGTGCGGTGGACAAGTGAAACTCAAGAGCATACATGGACCTGACCTGCTGCTGGAGCTTCAGGACTTTGTCGGCCAGGAAAGCTCCGATGCAAAGATTCATCTGTTGGCGGCCCACCTTGAAATGAGGCGATGGCAAGCAGTAGGATTTACAGTTGCAAGGTGCACTTGCCGACCTGGCTGTCAATCGCGTTCATAATCATTTCCTTGTCCGCTTCTTTGGAAAACCTCGCCTTCCGTCACTTTGCTTTGGGGGCTACATCAGCTACCGATCCAGGGCTCGAAACATGTAATGCATGCAAAAGCAGCACCGATCCAAATGCTACCCTGCCCAAGGAAGCAGTACGAATTTGCACTTCTTGGCCAAACAGCATACATCTAAGTCCAAATTCATGTGCAGGCACCACAGGTTTGGAACTAAGTAAGCAGCCTTGGACACGTCCACATCGAGGAGGCTCGCTCCGAGCTTAGCCAGGGCCTTCTTCATGTAGGTCTTGGCCCCAAATCCAAAGTCTGTCGGGTCACCTTTGCAAGTAGCGCGGGCCGCACGACAGCTTGGAGACAGTGTGGGGTGTGCAAAGCTCGCCTACTTCTTGAACGAAGCCTTCCGACGCTCTGCCACGTTTTGCAAGTGAGATGCAACGAGTAAGGCAACCGTGGTGAGACGTGAGGTCGAAGTCAAGGCCAAGCTGGAAGACTCGCATCACCTTCAAGGGAGAGGCGATTGTATCAGTCGGTCAGCAGGCTTCAGGCTGGCACCTCGTACAAGCACCAAATGCGAGTGAGCGTTTCCTTACCGGATGCCGGGAGGAACTGGGAAGTCTGGGTTCAAGCGTAGCAAGCGAGCGAGGAGATGCAACACCGAATATTGCTCAGGATGCAGCGCAATCATCATCAAGGACCATCACCACACTTTTTGCAACCTTCAGTGCGAAGTTGAACGGGCACAGTTCCAAGCTTGCTCCCAGGTCCACGTCATGCTGGCTGTTTGCGAAGGAGCCTCGGCTTCGACGGTCGCCCGCGTGAGCTGTGCGTGCATGTTTAAGCATCTGCTGCGACGACAGGCACGACGGACGCAGGTTTACGCCTCTACTGGTGCGACAACAGACACGACCAAGTGCGGCAGCTGGACCCGAGGAAAGCCTACATTCCACATTCTACACAGCAAGGCGCATATCCAAAACGCAGGATCCTCCTCACCGATGGCTTTGGCAAAGTGGACCAAGGCTTCCACGAAGTTTTTGAACTCACTGCTCCATGAGTGGGACACGAAATATCTGACTTTGTTCTGCTCCAATGTCTCTGCGTAACTCACCTGTCGCTTTGCCGTCTTGGGCTTGATTATGTCCTCCACAACATCCCGCATGTTGGGACGGCGCATCTTCGCCTTGCGTTTGCAGTAAAATGGCCTGAGCTGGTCAGGACATTAATTAAGGGGCACTGGTCACATGCTATGGAGGCCGAAGCCTGGCAACTGCAGCCTCAAGCGAGCTGCTTGTCCAGCCATGCTTTGTTGTCATTGTAGAATTTTAGCAGCGTGGACAAGCGGACTCCTGAGTGGCGCAAGCTCGAAGCGCACGAAAGGTCTGACGGTCATAGTGGTTTCCGGTAGGCCGCACACATGCAATGCATAAGTACCCTTCTTAAGGTACAGTGCTTATAGATCTAAACTACACGTTTCTTAGTGCGGGTCCCCGTTGCGCTGTTTGCAATTGCTGTCGAAGTAGCTCGAGCGTGCATGCTTGTTGATAGGAAACCGGAGTCACTGAAGCGCAACTACTGGAAACTCTATCTGAGAGCCAGTGCCAGTGCTGAAAAAGGCACCGTCTAAACCGCATTACTCATAAACACAGATGGGCTAGCCAACAGTGAATCTCCACGAACGAAGCTCCTCGAAGCTCCGTTGGGCGCAGGCACTTCCCCGCCACGAAGGAAGTGGCTGGAGGACCCTGCGCACTAGCAATTGAGATTGACAAACTCAGCTCCTGCAAAGCCCGGCCTCAGCAGGCTGTTGTTGCAGTAGGATCAGCAGATCCCGATGCGTCCCAGCTATTGCACGCTTTAAGGGTTGCTGTGGAAGTTCTGAGAAGGAGATGTTCCACTCCGATGGCGTCAAGCCGCCTTTCTGCAGCCTGGTGGGTTGTTGGAAGACCCTGAAAACGGATATCGATACATATCGAAACAAGATATGGCGGACTACAACATAGACAAGCCGCATGTAGTCCGTCAGCTGATATAAGCCTTTGACTCTGAACTTCGAATCTGGCTCGAACAGCAGCTCTTGCTTCTCAGGGAAGTTCGTGAAATCCTTCACCGAGACGGCTCTGGAGTCGAGAACCTTGTAGATGACGCCTGCAGAATTGCGGGAGCGGCCAGACTTTTCACAATCCAGGCCGAGCAAAAGGTTGCTGGCCACGCTCGGGCTGCTGGTGGCCGTGGTAAAGCCTAACCAGGTGACCTCGGCACCCTCTTCCAGCCCCTTGTCCTTAAGGTAGTGCTCGACGCACGGTGCACTGCTACCGTCGCCATCCTCGAAAGTCACTGTACGAAATGCGAAGCCATTGTGACGAGGGCAAGCCTGAAGAGCTCCGAAGACATTCTTGATGTAGGGCGCCCACAGCCGTCGCAATCGTGGATCATGGCTCCTCATTGCTCGTATGCACTCGGAATTTAATCTGGACTGAAGCGTGTGGATGTGCAGGGCGAAGATGGTAGATGGCTTGGCTGCAGAGCCTTCTGCGATAGCCTTCAGCACAAAAAGCTTGGCGGTCTCTACAAAGCCTTTCATAGATGAGCCGTCGCTCCATCCCAACATGTTTTGTCGCTGTGGTGGCCACCTCTGCTCGCTTGCCTTTTCCCACTGCGGCAGTAGAGTGTGCAGCAAGAAGTGCTCCATGCTGGACGACGAGTGAAGGTCTCCTTGCAGACTCCCGAACATACTCAGCCCACGAAGTTCACCCTGCAAAACCGCAGTTGTTGTCACATCCACACACCGTCCACGGCCGTCGAAGTGCAATTCGCATACCTGGCTTTCGCCGAACATGTCACCTTGTGGAAATTGGAAGTCGGGCTTATCCTTCCGGCGACTATCATCCGGGAAACAAAGCTCGTTTCTCATCTTGGCGGATGTAACGAACTCCAGTCGAGCACACAGGGCTCCGTCTCCTGGCTTGGCATCCCAGCTTCGGACTTGTCGTATGAAGTGGCCGTTGAGAGGCACAACGCGTTTCGACTGCAATCGTTCGCAGGCATCTGGAGTCATCAGTTGACCTTGCTCGTCTAGGACTTGCCCACAGCGGACGCCGTCGGAGAGAACCATCTCGAAGCCAGCAATGAGGTTGTCGACAGTGAAGTACACGCAAACCTTTGAACACAGATCTGTTGAACTGAACCGAACCTGCTGAATTAGACTGTCGGGGTGCCATGGCAACTTTTTATTTGTGCCTGGTGAACCTGCACCAGGCGCCTGGCCTCCTGCACTGCTGCAACATGCTGGTCTCCCATCCTATCCCGGAGGTTCTCGTCCACTTCAGAAATCCCTGTCCCTGCACTCGTGCCGACAGCTTCCAGCTCGGTTGGGTCCACTCGCAGCAGAGACAATGTGGCCAGGTCATCAGAGTCTTCCGCTTCTTTCCGGGCATCCTTCAGCCGATTGACGCCCTCCTGATCTCGATGTGTTTGCTGCAGCTTGTGCTTCCGGAATATTTGCATCATCTCGGGAGAATTCCACCAGCTTGCCCACATCATGCCCTCAGTTTGCGCAAGGATTCTAAGCACGTTACAGTACATGAAGAATTCAAGAAAACCTCAGGTAAAGCAGCAACGCCACTGTCTGTCCGGCGCGGTTTGTCTTGAGACCAATGCTGGGGTCTTGCTCCAGCATCCAGTCGACAGCTTTCGTGTCATTGAGCTGTGCGGCCAGCATCAGTGCCGACCATCCGGTAGAATCCTGACTTTTCCCACTCGCCGGTCCCTCTTCCAACACAATCGGCTTCGCAAGTTCACTACTCACTTACTTGGTAGCAGAATCGTGGAGTGCCCGGTCCTGATCATCCAACTTGCTCCCCTTGTTTTTCGCCTCCTCCAAGTCACCCCTGGAGCTTCCGGACGGCTCCTGCCTGGGGTCAATGCCGAGCTGCCCCATAAGAAAAACCTTCGCTGCTGTATTGTCATCGAATATTTGCTGCAAGATCTCCCTGAGCTCCTGCTCCTTCTGTTCGACTTGCTCGTGCACCGACACGAAGCAGCGGTGCCTCAAGATTAAAAGGCACCTGCATGCATCGCCTCGAGTCGGATCACGAACGTTGAGGTACAAAATCATCTCGCGCAGGCCCAAGGCATTGGGAGTGGAAAAGTGGTTCCTCATCCCATGCAACAATACCCTGTCTTGTTCGGCCTCCTGAAGCAAGGAAACTACCTCCAAAACTGCTCGGCAGTTGTCAAGGTCCACATAGACTGTGAGGAAATTAGAGGCATCGGTTTCTGCAGGTTTTGCAGTCTTCGATGATATCTTGAATTGAATGCTCTGCTCCGCGCAGAGCTTGTTCAAGACGCCACGGAGCTGATCCTGGCCAGGTCAGCATTTTGACCCAGATCCCTTATTTTGAGCATTAGTGCAAGAACTACATGAACCGAGACCAACCGTGCCCTGTTCCTCCGCAGATTGTCCAGTCTGTGGGCTCATGGGCTCGCAGGCAGGAGCCCCCTCGCTCCAAATCTCCATGCTCGACTGCGTAGCCTGCAGCTCCTGGACCGAGAACTATTTGCAGCTGTCATTTCGGAGGTTCTTGATAGAGTCCGAAAGCGAATCCAAACCTTCATCTCCGCGAAGGATCAAACTAGAAAAGACAAACTGTGGTAGGCTTGTGCTAACGGGGGTCTCAAACCATCTCCTACTGCCAGCACCCAACCTAGTCTCAACCTGCGAGCCCTGATGGCGAATCACGCTTTGTACAGAAGATCGACGTTCAGGGCTCCTTCAGCTTCTTCAGCTCCGGGAAAAACTCGTCGCTCTGCAAAGTCTTTAAAGCCGACTTGCAAATTTGCTGGGACTCTTGCACAACGTTCTGCACCTGGATGCGAATGGAAGCAACGACATCCAACGATGAGTTCAAAGTATCCGAATGGTATGCTCGTGTTCACCTACACCATGCCAGAACGGCCCAACCTGTGACTAGCGATACGGAGCTCCCCACCTTTTGCAGGTCGCCAGGCCCAATCTCCTTGCGGAAGCGCTGCTGAAGCTCTCGTCGTAAAGCGGGCCACGAGATCCGGTCCGTGCTGGAAAGGAAATTTGATCGCAGGGACTGCGCACAGCCAAGATATAGCTTGTCTAGCTTCGGTCGGATCTGTGGAGTGGCCACATCAAACGGTTTTTGCTTCTGCTCATCCTGCATATGCAGCAAGTGAGGGCATTTTGCGAGAAGCACCTCCACCAGCTCCCCGCAGTAACCACCTTTCGCAGCCACGAAGTGCAGGATTGTGGAGCCCCGCGTCAATCCACACAAGTCGCACACCTTTGCCGCCATGGGTTGCTTCAGTTCTGCCTCGCTTGTGGCAGCAATCAACATGCGAGCTGCAGCCACCTGCGGCAGAACAGAAAAGAGATTTTGTGTCAAGTTAAGCATCTATTTGTGACCAATGGCCAACATGCTACTCTGAAGGCTAAGGCATCCGACCTGATCGAAGTCCACAGCTAGGAGAAGAGGAGTCCATCCGCAGCAACTACATGGAGAGCTGAGGTGGAACTCGAGCAGGGGATCGCCATGTACATTCGTACCATCGTCAGGCACACCGTCCTGCTGCATTAGGACCAGCTTCTCCAAGATCCCCAAATGCCCACTTTTGGCTGCGAAGTGCAAGGCTTTGCCTGGGAAAGCCCCCTTCTGAATGAGCCAAACCACGACATTCGTGTGACCCATGTAGCTCGCGACCTCAACCGGGAACAGCCGCTCCCTGGCTCCAGGCAGATGGCTGTTAGCGCCCCATGCGAAACAAACCTCCATGGCCTCCTGCTTTCCATGAGCTGCAGCCAGCCAAAAGCCAGAGTATCCGAAGGGCCCGGCGTCAACGGGATACCCTTTCCGGAACAGTTCCCCCAGGGTAGCTTTAAGCTTGTCGCCTGACAAAGTCGGGGTCAAGACGACCACAACTTTTGCACGTTGCAGGATTGCCAAACACATACCGGCCTGAAGAGCGAAGAATAGCTGCTTCCAAATGTTCCCAGTGCTTCCGAATCGCACGCTCATCCATAGGACCTCAAAGGGTCTAAGCTGCACTTGCCCGCTTACGAAATCGTGGTCGCGGTACAAACACTGACTCTGGTTCATAACAGCCGTGCAGCACCTGCCCATGCTAGATGCTGGCACGAGTTGGTAAACCTGACCAGGTTTCTCGCTCAAGACCTGCACACTTCCCTCAGAGCGCAGATAGCTGCACGGTAGTCTGCACTAACAGCATTTTGTTCCAGACACCAACTGGAAGAAACTGCAACCAGCCTAGCTGTTGACTCTGAGTAGCCCTCCTGGTAATTAGCATCCAGGAGACTCTGTTCCGGAAGGAGACGCTTGTCGGGCACAGGCGTGGACTTATTCAACAGTTCTTGAAGTACAACAGGCACTGGATCTTCCTGGGCTTATCGCAGTTTGCAAGGGCGGGTCGGCAGCTTCAGATGGCAAAGTCGGAAGAAAGCTATGCGATTCATTTCCAGAAGCAAGCAAGAAATCAGCCAATGCTGTCCGGTCTTCTGGCTGGCTCGTCTTGAGCACCGCATGGGTCATCTCAGCGACGGCTTCCAAAGACTCCTGTCGAGGGTCTCTTGCGACTCTTGCGATCTCGCACTTGACCGACCGTGTACCAACGCACGAATGCACATGACATTGAAGCCCAAAGGCCCTGTTGCTGGAGTTGGTGGGTTCATAGCTTCGAACAAACATCAAAACTTGCATGAACAAAAACTGGGCTTGCCCGTCTTTGTGAGGCCAACACAAATCACTAATTTACGTACTGGTCTGCGTTCCTGAAAATTCACTGGCATCCCACAGCCCTCTGTGCTGGCTCCTCCACCCCTCGATCGCACAGTGCATCCTGCACCGAGAGCCAGGTCAGCCGCCGAACACCTTCAAAAGCGGCAGCATTCGAGCTCATGTAGAGTACCAACATATGAATCGAGCACCTGGTCACTTCAGAGCTTGTTAAGAAGGCCGGCTCAACACGAACTCTAGGGCCTTCATTGCCTGAGGCCGGTCTGCAGACTATGTTGGTTTCTGAACGGGATCGCGCAGACATGAAACTGCAATTCACCTAAGGCGTGAGGCTTTTCAGGTTGACCGGGGCGCTGTCAATGTAAGGGCAGCCCTGACATGTTGGAACTGACCGAGATGACACATGACAAACTCGGTGAAGGGGCTTGGGTTCAGCTCACTCGGGCTTTGCGAACAGCAATGAAGCCCGAGCTGCATGAGGCAGGGTCGTGCCAGTACTCTGCCGCAATCCTGAGTTGCCGGAGAAGTCGTACCTCTGACCTCTTTTCAAGTCTCTCCACTCGGCTGTTGGAGCAACCGCTCGTCAAACCGGTAAAAGCGAGACTTGTCGTCTGCAGAAGGACAACACAGAACAGGACGCTAAGGGCGGCCAAAGGACTGGTAGACAGCACACTCGATGGAGCGATACCTGCCAAGCTTTGGAGATATTGCAGCATGGTCTTACGGCTATGCGAGTGCGGGACTGACTGTTAGCCCTAAGCTGTCAAAGTTAGTCATAGCCTTTATAGCCCTATAGTCCCAATCCTCCAACGCGCACCTCAACAGCCGTTTAAGATCGACTTTCCGGGCGAATTCGCGAACCGCTTCTTCTGCTCCATGAATACGTTCGTCAATTCTCTTGGATTGCTTGTAGTCTGGATACCTTAAAACAGCACAACAAGCACTCCGGCTCTGTTCCAAAGGAAGCACATCAACGTCTAGCAGAGTCTAGCACATGTAAATCATGTCCAGAAGCTTCTCCTGCAGCTTCTTTGCCAATTGAACCCCCGTGTGTTCTTCAATGAACCGGATCATGCCCTCGAGAGTGCGCTCGCCGTCAAACTTTATGGGGCCGTCCTTCTTGTCGCGCAGAAAGAGCTTCATGTTGGGAATGTAAGGCTCCGGGAAAAGATCAGGGTCAACCATGTTCTCATCTGTGTCCATCATGGCCACTCGAATCTCGTCCAGTCGCTGTGTGATCTTGGCAAGCTGGTAGATGAAGGGTTTGACCACGACTGACGGTCCGCACCAATCGGCAGTGCAGTCTATAAATACGTGCGCGTCAGATTGCTTGACTACTTCTTCGAAAGTGTCTGCAACCACCGTAAACAAACCCGTCTTCGGATTCGGGTTTTCCGGTGGAGGGACACCGGACTTTCGCCGGTCCGTCTTGCATTTCCAGCAGGTTCGGGATGTAGACGAATTACGAGTCTGTCTCCCCCGACGCTCGCACTCGGAATTTCGGCAAAGCCACACACCTCTGGGCTGGTGAAGCTGGAGTACCTCGCCGAGACATGTGATGGACTATGTCGAGGACGCAAAGATGGGGAAGACGAAAACTCGTGGATCTGCAAGATAGCAAAAGCAGTGAACTCATCGTACAAAGCTGCAGGCATTTGGCTTAACAACTCCTGCGCCGCGCCTGTGCCTGCGATGCCAAGTAGTCTGAGCCAAACCGAACTTCACGTAGGTTGCCTCCGAGCATCCATTTCCTCGGAACTCTTGGCACGGTGCCGGTCGTGCAGATGCACGAAAACATTTCTGGTGCAGTATGGCAAGAAATTCAGACCGTATTTTAGACAGATATCTTCCTGGATTTCAACGAATCGGTGGGACCTGGATCAGCCTTCCCGAACAGAGAGATGCCTGGGCGACTACTCAGGAAACACGGAGATCACAGTCGTATCAGCAAGGAAACTGTAGCACAAACCCCAAGTGTGTCACGGATTGTGAGAGCTAAAGCCGCACCTCGTTCTGTTGCAAGGGAGAACGGCCCGTTGCTGCGGAGACCCGGATAACCTGGCGTTACAACAGCACAACGAGAGTGACCAGGCGGCCGGCGCATCCCATGCATAAGGTGATACTACTATCGATATTGATTGCAAGTTTCCTATCTCTTGTCCAAAGCTAAAATCTTGAACTGCGAACCTGGCTCCACTTCTAAGATCCGCTCGCCATCCAGCCACAAGGACAAAGATCGGGGAAGGTCTGCTGAAATCGTCAGCAGGTGCCACATGCCCGCTTGAACCTGTCGCGTCAAGCCCGTAATGCAACAACTGCTCTAGCTGCACGCAATTCTATAAACGTAACTGTTGCCCGTGCAAACCAACCCTCAAGGGCATTCAATTGCGTTACGCCGTCTTCTCTCATCTGGGTGGTTGCTTGTGTGCTACTTCGTTTATGCAGTTTGTTGTCGGGGCAGTCACGCCTGAGATGCGGTCTTCCGTGTGGGTTCCAAAGCCTCGGGGCACACCTTTGCTCGACATCCACAAGATCAGGACCCCACCCGCCAGATCCCGAAAGCCATCGGATTCAACCCCTGAGAGCAAGGTCTGACGCCAGAACGGAGAGGCCTGAGTGGCTGGAAATGCCAGGCTCGAGCTGCATTGAATCCATGAGAGGGGCGGCGTGCGTGCTGCAGCTCAAGGAATACTGATCTAAAAGTGTTACCGGAAGCCCACCGGCTGCTCATCACCAGCTAGGGTTAACCACGTGTCACGGTTCTACCACAACACGGTAGCGCCGCGTGGAGCGGCTTCGCCATCATCGACGCGATCTCCTGCCTTCACTCGCCTTTGTGCGCCGTCAAAGCGCGCACTGCGACGTAGCACCCTGCCGCAACGTCAGCGAAAAGAATCGCCTTGGAGAATGACTGCCTTGCTCTTCATCGCCCGTAGGCACCTGCAACTGATCTAAAAACCACACTGGTGATCTCGAGGCCTCGCATGAGGATCTGGCACCATGCCTCCCAACGATCCGCGTGATTACCCCGCCCCTTCAAGCCGACAGACGAAACTCCATGCAGACATATGCAGACCAACCCACATGAGAGGCAGCAGGACCTCCTGCTCACCTCAAGCTGCAAGCTCGAAGGGGGCCGGGAACTTGGGGCCTTCATCCATACCGCTTGGGGAATTTTGAGCCCTTGTAACGTAGAGGATCATCGCTGTTATCGCTCGTCGAAATGGGCCCTCTTTCGGGGAATTGATGTTGTGGTGTGTCGCCCGTTGCTTGTGTAACGGATTGTATCGGGGTCTCATTGTTGCGTTGGCATGTGTTGCCGAGATTGGTCTCTTTTGCGTGATGTAAACTTTTATTGAGTGGGTCGTCATTTGTGTGACAAGATCTGTTTGTTGTGCGGACGCTTACATAGGTATAAGTTGTAATCCAGACTCTCCCATTGCCGAAACTGAAGGCCTTCACGCCACAGGTCTTCGCTGGCGTGGTGTTCAGCTGGAAATCCAGTTGCGCACGCCGGGCCAGCAGCTGCAGCCGTTGCAGCTTTCCTTCGAACCCCTGCGCGAGATGGACTCTGGACAAGTTTGGGCGGAGTTAGGGGTATTAACAGCAACAGTGAACTGGACAGTCGCACCGGCCTGGGCATTCGTCAGGCACTCCAGAGTCGGGCATGCACCTTTGCCCCTCCTACACGCCTTCCACCCAGTTAAAGGAGGCAATTTCTCCGAGCTTTGCGCAGAGTAGTAATCTCCATCACTTGAGTCCAGGTCGGCATTCTCCCTGCTGAAATACCAGCTCTTGCTAGAATACTTGAAGAGAATGATGCCGCTTTCATGTCTGAAAACAGGCGCATCTTTCTTGTGCTGTGTTGTCTCGTGGTAGGCACCATTCACAGCATCCTCGCCAGCTCCACTCACGAAATATCCCGAGGCCTGCTGGCAGGGGCAGAACTCTGAGAGTCTTCATGCAGCTCTAGCTATGCGTGGACAGTGACCCGTACATGTCTCGCCATTCACAAACGGAATAATAAGACTCGAAAGCCCCACCGCGTTGTCTTGCGCCGTGACCCTCAGTGCACCGCCATCATCGAGAATTGCGTCAGTCTCCCACCTGGCAAACAGACAAAGAATACGAAGACCTACAACACACAGCTCTCAAGAGCCAGAAACCTACAGCATGTGCCGGCTTCGTGCTCCAACCTCAACTCGCTCAGTCGTTGCCAGGGCTTGCCCTGGATGTGTTTCCAGAGTGAACGACCACGCAGTGCAAACTCAACGGTGCAGATCTCTTCAACCTGGCTGCCGGGGAAGGGGCTCCAGGCTTCGAGTGTGGGTTTGCAACGTCTACCC